GTGTTCTGGGTTATCATCTGCATAATTGGTGGGACAAGTAACGAGAAAGAGGTGTCAACATCCTGAAGTAATTACCGATGAGCAGAGAAAACAGTTGGAGACGAAAATTCGATCGTAATGGCTTCTATAAGGAGGATACAGAATTGGCCCAACCAACAAATGAGACTCCACAAATTGCAGCAGCAGATGATGTTGAGTCAAGTTCTACACCTTCTATGTTCGTGAATTCAAAACCGATGCGAAAGGATCAGGGGGCAGGATGGTCAACGACTTGTATGCTCTTCAAATGACAAAATATGAGGATTCGGCTTTTGTCAAGTAGCAAAAAAGTTACCGATGCCAGGGGGCAGATTCAGCTTCTATCAAGTAGCAGAAGAGTTACGGGGCACCTAAAGGCCATTAGTTAAAAGAATCGAATGATTGGTAAATTATTCAATTCTTTTAAGGGGGCATCTGTTTACACCAAAAAGTGAAAAAAATCATGGAAATAGGCATCTGGAGCTTTGGCGTCAGTAACTTACCGATAGTTCGCAACTTACCGATAGTGGGTGAGCAGAGGATTGGCATCAGCAACTTAACGATAGTTAGGTGTCAATAACAAAACTGCTTATGGATAAGGGTGGTTATTTAAACGTGGAGAGTGCCTAGAAAATAGGAAGATAATAACCACCGTTAGGAAGTTACTTTTTATTTAAAATTTAAAAGTTGTAAACGCTTGTACGAGATTATAAATATCCCAAGTTTGTATTTTGAAAAGCCACCCCCCCCAAAAAAGAAATCAACAACTGAACTCACGTTCTTTATTAGTTTATCTTTCTTTTATCTTTACATTTCCTGCACTCGTACCTTTACATTTGGCCAAGGCCATTATTTTCCTGCAATTTACAAGCTTTAATTCTTTAGGAGTAGTTCTAATGCTCAGATTCACGTCGCCGAGTCGTCCTCCGATATGAATCTTCATCCTTGGTACTTCGTCGTCGAGTCAAATCCCGGCGTAGTACCGCCGCTCTTTCAAGCTTCGTCCTCGAGTCAAATTCCGTCGAAGTTTGTTTCGATAGTACTTCCTAAACTTTTCCGTCGAGTCAAATTAACTCCGGTTTGGTTTAGGTTTGTACAATTCCACATTGATTTTTATGATCGCTTGGATATTTCCTATCAAATCACCACAGAACCCGTCCTTCAATTAAAAGCCGAAGATCCATTTTCAGTGTTTGTTTCCTTACGGATTAAATTACGGAGAAACAATAAGGTACCGTTGTAAAATCATACCCTTCTTCCATCAGACCATCTGTGAATCGTCATTGATCAGATAAGCGTGTCTGGCTTCGAATTAGCTATCCAAGGATTAATCTAATCAATAAGAGAAATGGTGTCTAGTAAACCTAAGTGGAGTTCAGTGGAAAAACCAACGTGCTTCGTTCACGGGTTAGAGTTGACTTGGAGAAATCTCCGCAGAACGCCGTTCTTCATCAAAGTTAATGGAACTGTTGACTTCTGACGTAGCCAAGGCCACATCACTACAAATTTCTGATCTGAATTTGCTAGAGCATGCATAATAGAACCTCTCTCTCTCTCCCCTCTCATGCAAGTCCTGCACGTGTAGTAGAAGTTTCTACAATTCGAAAATGACATTTGCAAAGGTCAAGAAATGCTCCCCTTCTTTATACTTCAGCCTCCAAACACCCTAGCGTTGAACAGTCAATGACTCTTCAAAATTTCCTAAATTATCAAATTCAGTCAATTTGAGCTAGTCAAAGAACTATGTAGTTTTTGCTTTGGGGGTGCAAGTCATAGAAAATTAACCCTAGCGGCAGGTTATGCGGTGAACATAAGGCCAACATGGTTGGAAGGGGAATTAAACTAAGGTCTTTGACTAATCGATTTAACTATCTCTATTGTCAATGGTTTGAAAAACTAGTCGAAACAAGATACTTTCTACTCTAGGTAGAGCTTACCCCAGACGTAAACATACGCTATGTGCATCCATCACAAGTTGCCAATGTTCAACATTGGGTGGCAAATCATTCCATCGAAATTTAAATGGTAAAGAACGAGCGAAAATGAGATCTTGATTGATGTACTTGATAGGGGCCTCCGGAGAGCTCCTGATCACTACCTCGCTTGCCTTATCCGGCTTATCACGATGCTGAAATTCGTCCATTTCCAATTTGAAAATTACATGTTTTCTTTCCAAATAATGCTGGATTAGCTGCTTTCATAAGTACCAGAGATTACTTATCTGAGAAATTTGCAGTTCAAGATACGTATCATTGGGAGAAATTAATTGAAAAGCTATACGATCATCACCTTCTTCTCAATTTTCGTAAAAAATCAGACGTTAAATTCCATTTTGCTTTTACAGAGGAAAACGTAAATAAGTCTATGTTCTCATGCTGTTGTTATTTAAGTCGCTAGTAATTAAGATGACATATCTTTTTTGGAGCGCCTGCAATAATGTTAATCTTTTCTTGTATCTCCGAAAGCGAAAAACATCTAACGAGAATTTCCAGGCGGTTGGACGTAATAATGACGAGTCCAAAACAAGCCTCATCAGCTATATTTCCAGTTGTCATGTATGCCAGCACGCATGGAGCCGTGTCGGTAAAAGGATTGGGGGTGGGGCCGGAGAATACCAGGTCCAAGGATCGATCTCTGTGAGCACCGCACACACATATACATAAAAGAGAGGAGTGAGACAAAAAATATGTCAAGTACGATGCTTCAATATTGATAGATCTGTCAAACGGATGAGTTGGTTCCAGTTTGGTCGGACCTAGATTGACCCATTTAACATGTTTTCGTGCAATATATATCTAGTGATTCGTACTCGTCCCGACTCATATTACTAAAACCCTTCTATATTTAACCTAATTTAAGAATATTCATACCGAAACTAAAGTAAAAGCACGGAGTGAGCGAAGGCAAAATCGAGAAAGAGTCACACAGGTAGGTTGAGTCGAAATAAATTGTGAATATTTAACACCCATATTAAGTCCGTTAATGACTCATAGAGTTGGGTCTAAACCTATTTATGGCCCATTAACTGAATATAATTAACTCATTTAATAACTCAGCTTATCAAATATGGATTAAAAAATGGATATTTTGATAGGTTTAGATGTTGGATAAGCACCATGATTTCGAAGATTTTACTGGTTTCATTCTTCAAACCTTTCTAGATCAGAATTTCTAGGTTTAACAGCTCCTTACGTTTGCTAGTAAAACTCAAACACGTGTCTAATTGATTGTCTTGATTTTCCAGCTCTATATACTCGCAGAAAATCGTAGTCACTATCCGCCCTTGACCACGCAGCGGTTCTTTCATGACATTTAATCGATGTACTTAATCTTTCTCCTATCTTTTTCTTGATCATCAAGGGTTGTGCGGATGCAAAGGATGAGTCTACATCTATCTCGCCTAAGATGTCACGAGAACACATTGCTTGATTAAGAGAAACATTATGGGACAAAGGAAAGTCTTCGCCAGTATACCTTTTTAATTTGTAATGAGCATTTTACTTTAATTCGACCAAAACAAGAATTAGCACATATTTCCCTATGCACGAGTCGAGAAGAAAAAGGCATAGATAACAAGCTTTTCAAACTCCAAAAAGAGATTTCGCGTAAATCCCAATTCTAGATCCTACCTCCACGGGTAGAAAACCTAGTGTTTTTTTTCTTGGTCAAAGTAGAAAACCTAGTTGGACCAGTGCTTTTATTTACCGAGTAACGTATGCAGTCAATATTTTCGACCACAAAAAAAAAACGTATGCAGTCAATATCTTTTTCGTCAAGTAAGCTTTTCGTTATTAGTAAATAAACTTTAGACTAATGAAATAGTCCACTGATCTTAACAAATGAGCCACGGTGGCTGGTCGAAACTCGAGCGGTGGCCTTAAAAAAGGAATTTGCGAAAATCGAATTCATGCCATGCACGATCAGTTCATCATGCAGTATGTTATGCATCGACAATAATCAACCCTAACAGGGTCTGTAATTCTTTAAGGTGTACTCTCACGGCGAGAAAATACTAGGTGAGTTTAACACTCCACGTAGGATTTGCAGAAAATCACCCACAAATTGACACGTGGCAATCAGGGCCCACATGTCAGGGAAAAACCTTGTCTCTCTCCGCTCTCTCACGCGCTCTGCTCTCCATCTCTCTGCAACCCCACGCTCAACCCCCTCTCTCTAACAGCTTCGCTCATGTTCTGACAAGCCTTCTTCAATTCATCTCTCCTTTGAACTCAAGTCCTTCAAGCTTTCTAGCAAAAAAAAAAAAGTGTCCTTCAAGCTTGACTCCGCCATCTCCGCCCGCACCCTATCCATGCCTCACCTCCCCGACCGTCGCGCCTCCGCGGCCGCAACTGGCGACCTCGACGACGGCGAAGAAGCACTCCCGAATCTCGTGGTCGATCCAGAAGCTGCTGCGTTAGGTCTTCAAGCCAAAGACGAGCTCTAACCCGGCGTTCGGCGTCGCCGGTTTGTACTCGCCCGTTGTCGGCGAGGACGACGGGTTTTACGTTGGGTACGACAAGCCCGGCGTGTTGACCACGATTCCGGAGTCCCCGGAGGTTGAATATCTCGGGAAGTTGTCGCCGGAGATAGATTGCAGGCTATGGCGACTAGAAAGAGCAGAGTTAGTCGTGCATCGGGCATGAACGAAGGTGTTAGAGAGAGAGAGGGGGGGTTGAGCGTGGGGTTGCAGAGAATGGAGTGCAGAGCGCGTGAGAGAGAGGAGAGAGACAAGTTTTTTCCCTGTCATGTGGGCCCCCCGATTGCCACGCGTCAATTTATGAATGGTTTTCTGCAAATTCTACGTGGTTAGTTAAACTCACCAAATATTTTCTCACCACTGAACCGAACCATCTATCATTGAATGCGGGAAAACAAGAAAGGCCCCAGATGCGGACTGCACAGAAAGAAACGGGTCAAAAGCGCACAGGTCGATGGAAAATACCTGCACCTGGTGCTACTTGTGTGGACTCTTCTCCGCCGACGGCCGAGTCTCGTTGCTGTTCGGTTCCACCCATGGTTGAACGCTTCTCGATCCCGCGAACAAGTTATTATTTAACTCGGACCATCACTTTTCTTCAAACCAAATCCCCCCACAAGAGCAAATATATATATATACGCACACACAGAGACCCTTCGCTAAAAAGACATACCTCAAAAGTCTCCAAATAATACAGGAGCTTCATCATCAGAACCCGATAGTTATGGCTGGAGGAGAAGGAGGAGGAGCAGCAGCAGCAGCAGCCACTCGCTCTCTGCAAGAGACGCCCACATGGGCTTTGGCCGCTGTCTGCTTCCTCTTCATTTCTTTCTCCATTTTCATCGAGCACTTGATCCACCTTCTCTGCCATGTAAGTCCACATATTATCCTGTACTCGAGGAAGAACCAGAGAAGAAAGAAAAGGACGGAAGATGAGAACAGCGAAAGCATTTGAAGTTACCTAGTTTCGCAGAGGGCTTAGAAGCTCGTGATGACTAACTAACTTTTGTCTTTTTTTTTTGTTCTGTTATTCGTCCAGTGGCTCAAACGGCACCGGAAGACTGCGCTGTTCGAGGCCGTCGAAAAGCTCAAATCAGGTAAGGCTTCTTCAGTCACTCATGTCGAGGCAATAGTTGTGCATCCGAGGTTATCTACACCGAGAAGGAAATATTGATTTACTCGAATTGGCTGTGTCTTTCCGAATTTAAAAGAGCTCGGTGCAAATAACATTTTCGCGGGCTCACTAGAGTCGATGTGACACGATTGTTGTTTAAATCCAATCTGTGAATGCTCAAGTGATTTCAAGATTTCGACCGCGTACATGGCAAGAATCCCAGACAAATAGACCATTAGATAAGTTAGCTACAGAATATGCGTACTGAAATCGATCGAAGCGCCACAAATGTCCACAACTGGACGAGGCGGAAACGTGTGGAGATCTGAACATTGACTGCTGTAAAATTTCTTGTGTGCTTTGGTCAATTTCCTACAAGACTTTTGGACCCCTCCCACCCCCCCCCCCCCCCCCCCTGCCCGGCGCCTCCGCCGCCGCCCCCCTTTGAATAATGTTCGACTGTATCTACTACATTAACCCTACTTGTAACTGCTTGCAAGTTCATTGCCTCTTTGACCGACCATTTCCTGGCTTGGGGTTGTTTAATCTGTCACAGTGCTCATGCTTCTGGGTTTCATGTCTCTGATACTGGCCGTGACCCAAAGATCCATCTCGAAGATCTGCGTACCAACAAGAGTCGCCAACAAGATGCTTCCATGCCGCAAAAGCATGCCCACCAAAACCACCAAAAAGCTCGGGTTCGGCCGGACTCTGTCTGCCGATTCGTCCCTAGATTGGATAGCCGAAGGTGTCCTGAACGATGTTCCGTGGCAAATGGAGCGGAGATTGGCCGAGGGCGGTGAGGACTCCGATTATTGTGATTCTCAGGTACATGCGCATGTCCGATCACATACTTCATGCCCTATCTGATTGGATTTGTTCGACTATAGAAATTTACCGTTATTATGAACGCACTTCCATCACAGATTTTCGGCAAATGAGTAGGACCTTAGGGACACTTGTTAACAAGATCCTTTTTAAATTAGCTATGCTGGAATGTTGCAGGGAATGACCTCGCTTATATCACAACAAGGCCTCAACCAGCTCAGCATCTTCATCTTCGTCTTAGCAGTTATGCAGATTGTCTACAGTGTTCTCACCATGGCTTTGGGAAGAGCTAAGGTATCACAGTCACGATTCCATGATACCTTTCCTTTTTTCCTGTCTTTTTACTTTAACTTTTTTAAGTCAAGATTTAAGAAGCATTATTATTTCTTTTATTAAGGACCGCAGCCCGTTCTTTTTTCATGAGTCAAAAGGTATGCAAAAAGTGGATGGCCAAACAAAAGATAACAAAGAACATAGTCGTTATCTGTGGTTCCAGAAGGAAGAGTAACATACTAGTAAAGCAAGGATATGCAACGAAAAAGACAACCCATCTCTCCGGAATTTCGTCCAAATCCCACGATACATAGACCAGATTATGTCTTCTTTCGTTAGTTGATTACACTTAACTTGGTATATAATAAGCAAACATATGTTGACCTCTCGGCAATGTCTGTGATCATATTCAAACCTGGTCCACACACTCCACAACACCCTCATCAATCCTTCGTCCGATTCGTGGTGCGCGTTTGTCATTTTGCAAGTGCAAGTTACCGAAATTCCCGTTTCAAAAGCAGAAGAGGGTCGAGAGAATTAAATCTGTCAGAGTCCGAACAGTAGGGAAACGTAGGGCCATTGCCATATCCACTTGCTTCGCTTGATCACAGCACTCTCGATCGCACGCATCTGCTGCGCTCGTGATTTTGTCGTCGAGGAAACTTTTTTTCGATATTTTATCATTTGATCAAGGAAAACTGTTTCTGCATACTTTCTTGGCAGATGAGGCGATGGAAAGGTTGGGAGAAAGAAACTCAAACGGTGGAGTATCAAGCAGCTAATGGTAATACGTCAAATGAACTCTCTTTAATCTAAATTTATCTGTTCAGAAGTCAAAAGTGGCGTTGCTTTTTGGACCAACCTTCTTCTCCCCTATTCTTGCTGATCACATTAACATTGTTTATTATAGGAAAAGGATGGCATCTTGTCTCTGCTAGCCGATTCTTTATACCCATCTGTTTTGACATTAAAGTCCTTAATCTATATAATAAACTAGCGGCGTTACCAAATATTCGGATGTCATTTGGCATGGGTGACGACGATGGTCCGTCAACATACTAATAAACAACTGTAAAATTTGACTTTATTATGAGGGAACCTAGCTACGACTATTATTCGCACGATCTGAACTTAATAATACTTGGTGATCCAATTTTCACTTGAATTCATAGTATTAAAACAGAAAACTCATCGTTTTAATAATCTCGAGAAAGCCAGTTTGCCATCCCTCTGTATCTCAAAATGAATGGCACTGTCGATGCTCGTCACTGTGGACCAAAGTCTTTTTTCCTTCGATTTTGTTTGCTAGTGTCAGAGTCAATGCTGTGGTGCCTTGCCGGCGAAGTGTCAATGCAAAGAAATGTCACTTTCCTAGTGCAGGCTAATTTGACAGAAATAGTAAATTGATGACACAGATTGACAGATACGTCGATGTCGCTTTTAGATCTTTAATGAGGTCAACAATGTCGGGAGTCCGTAGATCGGTTCGTAGAACTTCCACTCATATTGACCTTGTCTAGAAATAATCTCACTTTCGTAAATGGTATGCCCCAAGAAAGGGGGGGAATAAAAACAAAGTGTTAAGAACAGCATTTTTTTATACGAAAACGAGATTATTATCTAACGCGACATTTTAATGTCGGGTTCTTACGCTAACAAAGTTGTAAGCTTTTGCTTCTGTTTTTTATGAGTAGATCCAAATCGGTTCAGATTTACGCGACAGACCACGTTTGGGCGTAGGCACATGGGAGCTTTCACAGATACATCCCTGCACTTGTGGACGGTGAGCATACAGAGCCCTGCGGTCTCCTCCTTAGACGACCGTCGTTTGATTGTTCTTCTATTAAACTTGTTTGGTTAATTGTCGGAACAGAAATGCTTCTTACGGCAGTTCTTCCACTCCGTCGCCAAGGTCGATTATCTCACCTTGCGCCACGGTTTCATTTCGGTACGCAGACACACATTTTGATGCTTATTGCTGCTGTTTGTTAAATAGTATCATATTGACTCTATGTGATTCTTTTCTTGTCTTTTTTGTTATTGTAAATTTATTTTTGTAGGCCCATTTGTCGACAAATAAATCGTTCGATTTCCAAAAGTATATACAGCGATCCCTGGAGGATGACTTCAAAGTAGTCGTCGGCATCAGGTTGAGCAGTTACCGTCTTGATTTCCTATAATTTCAATGCTTGACATTATATCATTTAGACAATCTTTGCTAGTCTCTTATTTGCCATGGAGACCGATCTAACATGTTTTTTTCCTTCCTTCGATGTAAATCCATGGACAGCCCTTTCATGTGGTTCATTGTGGTCATCTTTATGCTCGTCGACGTGCACGGTATGATCAATGTCCTAAAAACATCTTTCGTTTATACATTTTCTCCAAAATATTCTACACCTTTCAATGTTGCTGATGACTGTCAATGAAAACGACAGGGTGGTACGTGTACCTTTGGGTGTCATTTATTCCTCTAACGGTAATTAGTCTATGGTTTTTCTCCTAATATTTTTCGACTTCTCATTAATACTTGTTCTAAATACTTTGCTGTAATCACTGAAATCTTGAATGTTGCAGATAGTTCTGGTACTTGGGACCAAACTGGAGGTGATAGTAGCGAGGATGGCGCTTCAGCTCCAGGACCAGAACACTGTGATCAAAGGAACACCGCTGGTGCAACCCAATGACAAGCTCTTCTGGTTCAGCCATCCAAAATACGTCTTGACACTCTTGCACTACACGTTGTTCATGGTAAAGGCTCTCCCGTCAATTCGGATTCAATGAAGGAGGACTATTCTTTACTAATAGCATTTCGCTAACCGAAACCCTCTTTTTCATTTTCCTTTTCTCAGAATGCATTTGAGCTTGCTTTCTTCATTTGGATCACGGTACATGACTCTCTTCTCTCCACTCATCACATTGCCGAATTATTTCTCATCCATTCATCGTAAAAAAGTAATGGCTGATAGTCCGAAGTTGTATGTCTTTCAGCTGCAATTCGGGATAAAATCTTGCTACCACGAACATTTGGAGATAATCATTGTTAGGGCGGTGTTAGCGTAAGCACCTGCAACCCCTCTCCATATTCCATGACTACATACATATGAAATACTGATATTTTTTGTCTAAACTAACTAGTCTGTGCGATATATTCCAGGGTTACTGTCCAAGTCCTTTGCAGTTACATCACTCTCCCCCTCTATGCTCTCGTAACCCAGGTACCGTTTCGCCTAATCTCAACATAAGCATAACCTAAATGGACAAATAAAACGAACAATCTCCTAGACATATATATTAACGCAATTTTCAGACTTAGTTTACCGAGGTAAATGACGTGCTCATATTGAATGCTTAGATAAGATCCACTTACTTGAAAACCACGTTATAGTTTGTTTTCCATGACTTAGTAAACTGATTTATGAAGTAATCTTAATAACCCTGGCATCTTTATTTTGACCTTCCAGATGGGATCGCAATTCAAAAGTGCAGTTCTGGAGGAGCAAACAGCGAACGTGATAAAGCAATGGCACGCGGGAGTGAGAGAGAAGAGAAAGAAACAAAAGGGAGATGCAAGTAATCACGGTCAAGAGGACTCTTCATCGACAAAGTATAGCAAGAGGACGAACTCGGACACGTCTTCTTCCCACCATCGAACGCCCACGTTTGCCGAGATTTCCGTCGCAGCCGAAATCACCGAAGAATCTCAAGAAAGCTGCTCCAATCGCGAACTTGGCCGAAACGTCGAGGGTCCATCTGATTTCGTGCGGATAGAATTGTCGCAACAAGTGACCAAGGACCATGCACAGCTATAGCCTATAGAGCAGACAATTGAGTATACATTGGCCAATTTTGATGAAGCATAATCAAGAGTTGTTTGCGAATTCTTGAAAGAAATAGGACGGTTTGACTTCCATGATTTGTAAATCTGTACATCACAATGGGAATAGATCTTCCATTTTTCATCTACTATAGTTTTACTATTGCGCGTTCTAATGGAAGATATTCCATTATCCTTACATAGAAAAGATAAAAGTATGGTAATCGAAAATTTCGATGGACATAATTATATTTTCTGTGGGAAAACACCGGAGAAGTGCATTTCGGTTTGGTTCGAACCATCTTTGGCTCGAGCTGAACCAAACCGAGAAGCTCACTACTAGAGCAGAAGGTAATACATATAAATTCTAGCTCGAAACTGCGTCACTATCAACTCTAAAGAAATGATGATTCTTGTGTGAATTACCATTGTGCAGTTAAGCTGCGACATAGCAATTCATCAGCATAGTTTATATCTAAAGCCAACACACCAAATGGACTCGTAGGAACAGAACACCCCGACAGGCCCACAATCTTCGGATCCGGCCCAAAGCAAAAATTAAATTGCTTTCGTTTTCCCTCGTCATTTCGTGAATTCAGTTGAACGTTTTTCTGATTTTGCGATCACCCCTTTGCTTTTCTTCCTCTCTTTTTCTTGCTGCTACGCATCTGTCCATGGAAAGAACACGCCCGACAAAAAAAAGTCCGTGCGATTGGACGTCGCCTTCTCAAAGTTATCGAAACATGTCGGCCTCCCCTCTCTTGCTCTCGGATCCATCAAAATCCCCCCAACTTGGACGAGAGCCTTGGTGGCTAATCGATTCGTGCCGTCGAATCCCTCAGAAAACGTTTAACCTCGACCCACTAATCACTTGATTAAGATGTTCCAACCGTAATTTGGCCAATTAAGCTTCTCAATTATTCGAGGGGAATAGCACCGCCAGCTACTATCCCTCTCGAGTTGTTGTATGGCCCAAGACAATGGTCACATCACATTTTGTTGTTGGTGACAAGTTTTTTTCTGTTGTTCTTCCCCTTGCTTTTTGGTCGTGAGGGGACAAAACACGGACTATGGCATTGTTTCATGCGAGAGTTGGGTGCCCACCCATACGAGAACATCGACATTAATTGAGGTTGGTTCCGGGTCGATCTGCTGTCGTCGCAACGCGAGAAACCGAACGATCGCCGAGGGCTTTCGAACCGGATCACGACCGCCGTCTACCACCTCTCGCCCCTCTTCCATTCGCAACTCGGTTCGATGCCCGAGACTCGGTCAGGCTTACCAAAGACTTCAGTCAAAAAAAAGCATGAGATCGTCTCTAATTTTTAAGGACGAAATGGTGATTGCAGGAACAGAGAGAGATGGGCGATGGCCTGCCCTTCTCGATGTTCTCGTGGGCCGCCGAGATGAAAATGCGTCCTTGACGAGTTTGATGGGAACGACTCTGCTTTATGCCCTTTGAAAACTGCGCCTTTTTTTAAAAAGCAAAACCTTCGTCGTCTGCATAAAAAAAGGAAATCTTTGTCAGCACACCTTTCCTCAAGTGATGGAAAAATATTAGAGGTGAGGATGATTTCAGGATAGATATCGGAATCAGAGAATCGGACCGATGAAAACCTGTCCAGTTATAGATTTTAGGGTATGCAGGATAGGTTCCAAGTCCTATTTCGATGAGAAAATTGTAAGTTCTAGATAAGTGGAACCTGAAACAAGTTTTTATATTTTTCCTGGTTTATGTCTTTGCATGATCATACTATATTCCGTGACGTTCGATAATGAATGTATAATTTAGAACCACTAATCTGAACTTCCATTTTATGAATAAAACTTTTACTTTGTTAATATTTCATATTTTTCGCATGTCCAAACATAAGCCGTGATCAGTGGATTGTTGTGACAAGTGATGGTCATTAAAGGTGACGATTTACGGTAATCGTTCAATTTATAATATAGGTGGAACCTGGGTAGACGCCGAAATCGACCTTGGAACATGTGAAAGGGTAAGTTCCATGTTCCACGGTATGCGACGTATGTTCCAAATTCCAAGAAATAAGGAACTTGTTCTAACGGATAGGTGCCAAGTGGAACTTATACGTACGAAACCTGAAGCCGCTTAGAATCTGAAACCGGTCACTCCTGAAAAAAAAAAAAACAAAAAAAAAAAAACAAACAAATTGTATGATCATGGACTTCTGCCCCCGACCTAACCTTAATCCTATGTCGTGGATTTGCCGGATTCGTAGGAAAGGAAATCTAAGCACGGACATGCTAAATTGAGGAGGCGTAGGCGTGATCCCGCTGAAAATGACGAAAGGGAATGTGACCCTCCTCCTCGCTTTTGGAGACCGTCCATGAGGGGGGAGGTGGGGGGTCGGGGGGGCACTTTTGTTAAAAGCTGTGTTGGGCGATGGCAGTGATGCGAACCCACCCCCCCACCCACCCCCTCCCTCCCATGTTGCAACTTCGCAATCATGCTGATGCCTTGTGTCTCCTCGTTTCGGACCCACCTTGTTCCTCTCTCTCTCTCTCTCTCTCTCTCTCTCTCTCTTTTCCTTCTGTTCCTCTCTCTTTCTTTTTTCTGCGTTTCCCTCTGCTGAAATTTACCGAGTTTTCAGTTTAGGATCCGCCGAATTCCTTTTATAAAAAAAAAAAAATCTCTCCCCTCGACTTTAGGTCTAATCCCGATTCTGTCACGAGCTTTCTTGAAATCAATCCCCCACTTTCGAATTGGTTTTTTTTTTTTTTTCCAGATTATCAACGTTCGAGAGACTGCTGATGTTGTTCTATACGAAGACGAGAGTGTAGGTGAAGACGCGGGTTTTGATAATGAATCTCTAATTGGCGCTAATATTGATAATTTTAAAGATATTAGTGGTGACCTTTGGACTCGGGGCAGATTTGAAAGTATAGTGAAAGTTTGTGATTATTTTTTTTTTTGTGAAAAAAAGTATAGTGACCTCGAACGTAATCGAGGTTGACTTAAATACAAGAAAGTGCTTCAATCCATCGATGAGTAGCCATCTGATTTCGTATAATATTCCATCCTGCATCGAGATTTGATTACGACCCCCCTAAAGTTCCATCCGTCCTAAGTCCGAAGATGGAGCTAGTTAGGACGCGACCTTTAATCAAGGTCACGGCCGCATCGTAATCCTAGCTTCAATAGAAAGAACTAAAAATCCTAGCTTCGAGCGCAAAACAATCTCTCTAGTCTCTTACAGCTCAAACTTAAGACAACATTGCTAGACTTGATAAACGCATGCGAAACAATTAGGGTTAATAACACCAAAAACCCCAAACTCCTCCATTAGTTTTCATTATTTTTTACTGTCAAATTGTCAAGTTGGGTGAATTGATTTTGGGTTTTGCTCTCTGCTTATAACAGGTGTACTAGTTTGTAATTTTTCGCGATATTGATTCAATTTAATGGAAGCTAACGGAGCATAAATTTATCATAAATATACCGATTTGGGTTTTTTGTGGTCAAAAAATTAGTTTGAGATACATGGTCAAAAAATTAGTTGTGTGCCAATTTGGGATTTTCCAATGGTATTAACCCAAACAATTATGTCATAGATTGCACTACTAATTACATGGGAAGTGAGGACGGGAGCATGCCAAATACAAATTCCAAAGAGCAAGAACAGAAACGTAACGTAAGGATGTGAAGACGTACGGCAAAGCGGAAGCCCAACAGCATCGCCCGCTTAATAAAAGGGTACGACGAATGCGGGCGAAAATTATTCACGTAAGCACAACCCAAACAAAAACGAAAGAAAAATAAGGTAATTTCGCTTTTCGACGCTTCTGTTTTTGCCTTTTGGGGTGAGGAAAAAAAGAATTCACTTTTCACTTTCACCCTCGCCGACGCATTTTTCCGCATTACCACAAAAAAAGAAAATACTAATAATAATAATAATAATAATAATAATAATAATAATAATAAAACATGTGAATTTCGATATATGTATCTTAGTGGGGAAAATTGTTCAAAAAGTTATAAATCTATCGCACTTTTGTCAATGTAGTTTTAAACCTTGTAATTATACCAATTGAGTTCTAAATCATTTCCTGTTTCTCCAATCGAGTCAATCCGGCCAAATTTGACCGAAAATCGCTGACGTGAAATTTTTTAATAATGTTTCAATATTTTTTTTTTATTTTTTATTAATTTGTTTATCTTATTTTATCTTCTTTTTTTTATACTTCTCTCTCTTTTCCTTCTTTACTTTTTTTTGGTACTATGGCCGGCAAGAGTTGCCGCTCGCCAGCCACTGGGCGAGGGTTGCACGGCCCTTGCTCGGCCTTGCCCAGATCTGGGCGAGGCCATCATGCCGGCGAGGCTAGGGCAAGGCTACCTCGCCCAAATTTGGATGAGGCTGCGCGAGATCCTCGCCCGCAACCGGTGAGGGCGTCCTGGCCTCTCACAATAAGAAAAAAGTAAAGAAGGAAAAGAGAGTGAAAACAAAAAAATCGAAAATATATTAAAATATTATAAAAAACTATTAACGTCATCGTCAGCCATGTCACATAGAACGGTCGGCGTCCACTTCAACGATTTCTAGATAAAATTGGTCGGATTGACTCAATTGGCACAATTAAAAGTTTTAGGGCCGAATTGGTAAAAGTGCAATAGGTTTAGGATTTTTCTGGACAATTTTCCCGGACTAGGCATAACTGGCAGTGAAATAATAAGTGGGATGCAAGTTGGGTGCTTTTTTCAACCTGACCATATGTCGGGGTGGTAGCGATATGTTCATGTGCTGAGGGTCTCGTGTGGTGCCTGTCACAAGAGAGAGAGCAGCATGAGTCTCGAGGGACGCTCGGAGCAATAGCGACGGCCCATGAACTCCTTTTTATCCTTTCGCCTGTTGTTTTCTCTTCTCTCTCGTTTCGTTTTCTCCCATGAAACACCATCTCCTTTTGACCCTCTCTCCCCCTCTCTCTCTCTCTGCTTCAAAGACAATCACTACACAAGCTGGTGTGCTGTGTGTTCTGCAGTTGATGTTAAATCTTCTGTGAGGCGAACACTTCAGCTAATGTGACGTTTCAGCACCGGCATGGCAATGTCGCCAAGCCAAGCCCCATGAAATTTGAACCCCCCCCCTCGTGACCTTACACGTGTGTACAGATCGTGATGCCAAATGAA